CATTGGAGATAAGAGACATCTACAATCACAGGGTTTACTGGTTCAAACGTCCCACCCTCCCCCCCCAACCCATACACCTATGCCCCTGTCCCCACTCCATAAAAAGGTCTCCGGTAACAAAATCTTCGTTCCAGGCTTGGAGTAAAGGTGAGGTGCTCAAGGAGTAAAAAGGGACATTGCAACCTTAGTGGTCTTTGCTAGGGAGGGGAGATGGTGGCGGGAGGGAGAGAGGGGGGTAGCTGGTTCAGGTCCTTTGCAAGTCCATTTGGTTTGTCTGGAGGACTCCTAGGGTTATACCTGAGATGAAGACGTCTAGGGGACACTCCATAGCTCAATTAAAATGTGGTTGGTGTTTTGTGCCTAGAAGAGCCCTCACTGCCGGGATTTATCCGTCACGCTCGCCCCGCACAGCAAGAGAGCAGCATCCCTCCTCCGCTCGGCACGGGTCTATCTGAACCAATGCTCGGCTCGGGGTGATCCCTCATGTGTCGAGGATCTCGCTGGTGGGCGACGGCTCGTGGGGAATGCCCTGTACGCTGTGGATGGTCTGGTTGTGGGAGAGGGAGTTCTGCTGGAGCTCCAGGGCGATGGCGTTCTGGGGGAACTCCTTCACCTGCCGCTTGTACTCGAGGAAAGTGCAAGCCTTGGTGGCGATCGCAATGATGTTCTTGCCAATAAAGATGGTGGAGACCCTGCTGTCCTGGAACAAGATCATGTTGATGGCCCGGATGAAGATGGTGACGATGTTAATGGTGACCAGGCTAAGGACGGGGTAGAGCATCATTTTTTGCGGGGCAATGTGCTCCCCTTGCATGCTGATCTCACTGAGGGACACGCAAGGCAGGATCAGGAGGAGTATGTAGCAGTAGAAGAACATGAGCCCCTCCGCCCAGATGGGCAGGCCGGTCCTGTGTGGCTCCCACAGGTTGGCCTGGATGTCCAAGATATCCAGAAGGTCAAGGGCCACCCAGAAGAGACGCCCGCGCAAGTCCTCTTTCTTCCGAAAGGTCCGTATGTACTCCATGCTGTCCAAGGCCACCAGCACCAGGTACAGCCCTGGCACGCAGATGGAGAGGAGCAGGGTCAGGGCTTTCCTGGCCACCGTCTCCAGGTTCTTCTTGTCCGCTTTGTAATTCTGAAAGATGAAATACAGCTTGATCTCCAGCACAAAGATGTAGAGGAACCACAGGATCATGGCGTAGCCCCGCTTGGCCGTCTTCACCTCCGCCCCCACCCACACCGCCACGTAGCGCAGCACGATGAGGAAGCAGATGTCCCCCACCAGCACGATGATGCAGACGCCGATCTTGCGGGGCCCCTGGTTCTGTTCCACCAGGTAGGCGTCCATGAAGGCCATGCTGGTCATGATGACGATGGTGGTCAGACAGACGTGGCGCTTGTCAGGCGGCGGCAGCACCATGGTGAGACGAGCGGTCCTCCCTCCGCACCGGCACTAGGGGAGCGATCCTGCCGGCGGGGCACGGGGGGACATCTGCAGTGAGCCCAGGGACCGAGGGCTGCTCCGTCCCCCAGCCCCAGCAAGAGGTCCTCGGAGGAGCAGTGGCTCAGCTGGCAGCCCCGCTCTCCCGGGGCTCTGGGCTGCCCCTGCAGACCCTACCCCAGCTCTTCGCCTTTTGCTGGCTGTGCCCTGCAAGC